CAAACTCCATTTGGTCCATCTGTTGCATTATGAATTGCCAATTAACATTATCAAAGGCTTTCTGGGCATCTAAAAACAGTAGAGCCATTGATTTTTCTGTGTGTGTCTCGTAGTATTCTAGGATATCCAAAATAGTCCTCAGATTGTTCTTCATTTGTCTTTTAGGCGGAAAACCAGTTTGGTCTGCATGAATAAAGTCTATTAAAAACTTCTTCAACCTTTCTGCCAGGCAAAAAATTTTTAGTCCACATTTAATAATGATATGGGTCTGTAATTTTGAATCTGTGTTAAGTCCATATCTTCTTTTGGTATTAATGTGATATTTGCCTCTGTTCAGGTATCTGGTATTTTAGCAGTTAACAATGCTTCATTACATATGATTTTGAAAAAGGTAGCAAAAATTCCCTCAAAAGATTTGTAAAATTCAGCTGGTAGCCCATCTGGACCAGGGGTTTTATCGTTCTTTTGTCGCATGATTGCCTCTGTTATTTCCATAGTTGTTACTTCTTGATTCAATATTTTTTTATTCTTTTCTGGTAATTTTGGTAAATCTCCCTTTCAAATGTATTCTTTTACCTTCTTGATTGAAATCTCCTCCTTCTGGTATAACCTTGCAAAAAAAATCTTCAGCTATTTTCTTAATTTGTGTATTTTGTACCTGTAGTCATCCTCCTCCATCTTTCAGTTTTGAAATCAATCTCTTCTCTCTTTCTTTTTTGACTTTATATGCTAGCCATCTCCCCGGTTTATTAGCATTTTCAAAAAAAATCTGTTTAGCTAATTTCATTTGCTTAGTAAGTTCATTTGTATCCAAGAGATTTTGTGCTTTAAAATATTCATTTGGACCTTAAGATTTCTTTTTGTTGGATCTGCCTGCAGTTCTTGTTCCCGTTTCCTCAATTCTTCTACTAATGTTGCTCGCTCTTGCTTTTTCTTTTTATTTATTTTTGCTGAGTAGGTTATTATCAGTCCCCTGACACAGGCTTTAGCTGTATCCCAGACATTCTGTAAAGAAGTTTCTTCTGCTTTGTTTATTTGAAAGAATATTTGCATCTCTTTGCTTATCTCTTCTATAAATTTTGTATCTTTTAGTAATGCTTTATCTAGACTCCATCTGGGCGTCCTTGCAGCTCCTTTCAATGATATAAATACAGGATTATGATCCACCCAGACATTTGTCTCCATTTCAGCTTCTATCAGATCTGGCATTAAGTCTGGAGTTATCCAAACAATATCATTTCTAGACCATGACCTACATCTGTTTGAGTAAAAAGAATAGTTGGCCGAAGACGGGTTTTTATGCCTCTAGGCATCTATCAATCTGAATTCTTCAATCAAGTTGGAACAAGACTTTGGAAGCATCCTCCTACCTGTTTTTCCCTTACTTTCACTCTTGTAATTGATTCCCTTATTCACAATTGCATTAAAATTGCCCATTACACACATAGACTGATAGTCCACTTCTAAAAGTAACATATGTAGTTTTTGATAAAAAGTTTCCTGATGGTCATTTGGTGCATATATTGCCACTAAGAGCACCTTTTTAAGTTTAATTGTAATTTCTACCATCAAGATCCTACCATCCTTATCAGCAAGAATATATTTAGGGTCCAATTTTTCTTTAACATACAGTGCTAAACCTCTTTTCTTTTGCGATGTAGAAGATACGAACAATTTTCCCAGATATGAACATTTCAGAAGTTTAACATATTGTTTCTTAATATGTGTTTCTTGTAGACAAATTGTATCTAATTTCCATTTTTGAAGTTGAGCAAAAATCCTTCTTCTCTTAGATGGTCCATTTAGTCCATTAACATTTAAAGAGAGCAATTCAATTTTCCCTTCCTTTTTAAGAGCCATATTTAATAAAATTATTTACTTATTCTTTGCCTTTACAGTTCTACCTTTTTTTCCCACCTTTGAGTCCAGAGTCTGTAATTCTTGTGAATCAGCCTTCAATATTTCTCCCTCTTCAGAGTGGTACACTGTTATTTCCATTGCTTTGGCACCTCTTTCTCCTTCTTTAGAGACGACAGGATTCTCCTCTTCTAGCATAACTCTAAATTTTTCATAGAACTCTTGTACTTTAAGAATTGAATCCAATTTATATCTTACAGAGTTCCATGTAAAAATACTCCTTCTGGTGTTAGCCACTTAAAGATAATCTCTTTCTTGATCAATTTTGTAGTAAGGAATTGATATTTCCTTCTTCCCTCTCTAATCCTCCATGGAATTTGTTTCAGGACTATCACCTCCTGATGATCATCTCTCTTTAACGGCTTCTCCTGTGCAGCCTTCAAAACATTATCTCTTATAGACCTTAGAGCAAATTTGACATGGACTTCTCTCGGAAGTTTATTTTTTCTGGTATAAGAGGAGTTGACCCTAAAACAATACCCATGACTTCGTTCTCGATTTCTAAAAGCTCTGCCACATGACAGTTATGATCTCTCAGAGGTCCTCATTTTTCTCTTCAGGTATATACTGAAATCTTAGATAATAAGATGCCTTCTCCATCTCTAATGTAGCCATTGAGTCCCATGCTGACTTATTTGTTTGCTTAATTAAATCTATTTCTTTATCTACTGTCTCCAATTTTTCACATACTTGTATTTTTTGTGTATTCTGTTCTGCTTTAAGTCGGACATCAGATAATTGAGTTGTCACCTCTCTAATAGAGTTATCCAATTTGTCAAGTTGCTCTTTTTGCTCATTTGATAAGCTTTTCAGCCGTATTGACATCACCTCTTGAGAAGCTTGCAAAGTTGTTAAAGCCGCCGGTATCGCCATTAAGCTTTTTGCAACATCTTCTGTCTTAGGCTGATGAATTGGACTCTGACCCACTGAGAAAGGTGCTGAAGAGGGCTGAGTTTTCCTCATGATGGAAGTTGTTCACCAAAGAAATGCCAATATAAAAAAGAAAAAGGAGGGAAAAAGAGAGAGAGAAAAAAAAAGAGAAAGAGAAAATGAAAGTAGCTTGCAATAATTCCGATAGCCACTGGGTGGCAGCAAAAGGCTATTTAAAAGAAACAAGAAATGTATTTGATACTACATTTAATCACAGCAGCGAGGATTGCACTTGCTCAATACTGAAAGAGTGAGTAACTACCCACTGAGGAACTGATTTTAAAAAAGATTCTGGACTGTGCAGAAATGAACAGATTGACTCTATTATTGAAGGAGAAAGAAGATACTGACTTCTATCAAACTTGGGACCTTTTTTATGAGTGGCTGGAGAAACGGGACTTGGCTTAGATTTAAAGATGTCTTTAAATTTTTATAAATCGATTTGAATATGATTATAGAATGTTTAAAAGATATGTTATAGGGGGCTGACCCAGTACGTCCGATGTATTTGATTACTGATTTTTTTTTAGTTTTTAGTTTAAAATCTTAATAAAAATGTGCAAAAAAAAAAAAAAAAACAGATGGTGTGGGGGTGACAGATTGCTTCATCACTGCCTGTCCATTGCTTTCCAAAAAGTGATCCCCTGTGGATCACACTACCACATATGTAAATGAGCTCTGTGCTCATGATGAGCTTATGATTGTTCTCTGCAGAAATGGTCTTAATTGTATCAGTTTTATACTCATTGTGTTGCTGTGGACACATTTCTGGGGTGTCACCATCTCATTAGCCAAAAGCAGGCCCATACTTCCCATTGAAATACTAATAAGTTTGTGTTGATTAAAATTGTTCTTCATCTTAAATATTGTATTGTTTTTCTTGTTTTTTGCACAATAAATAAGATATGAACAGTGTGCATAGGAATTCGTTCATATTTTTTTCAAACTATAGTCAAGCCCCCCAACAGTCTGAGGGACAGTGAACTGGCCCCCTGTTTAAAATGTATGAGGACCCCTGCTCTATCATGTCTCCCCTTCCTTGCTTTTCCTAAGCTGAATGGTCCCACTTGTTACAGCTGCTCCTCATGGGGGGCTGCTGTAACCCCCGATCATTCTATTGTCTTTCTCTCTACTTTTTCCAAGCCCATGATGTCCTTTTCAGGTAAGGCGACCAGAACTGAACACAATATTCCAGGTGGAGTTGCACCAATGATTTGCATAAGGGGAATACCATCTTGTCAGCTTCCCTTCCTTTCCCTTCTCTTCCCTTCTTGTGCCTAACATGGAGTTTGCCTTTCTCACAGCGACTATGCACTGGGTTATTTTCATTGAGCTGTCCATCGCCACTCCAAGATCCTGTTCCTGTATTTCCACAGCAGTCCTATGAAAACACTAGGGGAAATCAGGGAGGAAGGAAAAGACAGATCTTGGATAAGAGGGTGCAGGGTTTCACAAGTGGATACATCCGCTAGTAAAGGCTGTGTGGCTGGGTTTGAGGATATCACTAAGACCAAGCTATTCAATGTTATTAACTTGGTTTTCCCAGTTTCTGCAGCTGAGATTATCATTGCATTAAAATACAATGTAGTTGTGTTACTACTAGCGGTAAAACGCCGGCTTAACCTCCGGCTGCCTACAACTGCTTGTTTTGCCTGCAGTCTTCTTGCCAACACTTAAGCCGGGACGAAGCGCAGATCACTTCTGCATGGACGAGCAGTGGCTCAGCTTGTAACTCCGCCTCCCCGCAGTCCTGAGCAGTTAACGCAAATTTCTCTGTATTTAATTTTAGATAGTGGATCTGCTCTGAAATTCAAGATGGGACATCTCAAATGCTACAACAGAATATTTGCACAAATAAATAAGTGACTCAGTCCATAAGAGGCTGTCGTCCGTCTGCCCGGACTGATGCTCAGCTCTCCATATGCCGGACCTAGTTTTTTCAGTGGGAGTCTGGTCACTCCAGCAAAATTGACAGGGCAGATAGTGAGTCTTTAGCCAGAAAAAAAGTCCTCTAACTTCCAGTACACGCTCGCCAGCTTGTCGGACTTTTCCCAGTCCAAACCCACATGCCATAGCGTCCTGAAACAATCGAAATTACTCCGCAAGGTAGGGATGACTTGCAAACGAGCCATTCTCCGCCGGATGTTGAGGGAGAAGCCGCAAGGTTTCCACTTTCGGTTCCGTTTTCTAGTATCTGAGCGAGCAGCGGCCGCTTTCTCGTCCTTGCCTGAGCTCGGCTTCTACGGACCGTCAACCGGGAAGAGTCGCGCCCGCTCCGACGGCTGTTGTCTGGGATCAATCCTGGTTACTTTACCCGAGCTGTCAAGGAAACAGGTAATTCAAAATGGGGAGACCCTTTAAGGGCATGCATGTAACAATAATCGCTAATAGTAGCAACAATAAAAAAAAAGGATATTCATGAGAATTGGGAAAGCAGTGAGGGAGGAGGGGAAAAGATATCTGCGATTAGCAGCGCTCTCTGGAATTGTTTTTTCTGGGTCAGACCGAAGGACTTTGCTCTTTCCTGAAGTGAGGAGCCAGAAAACCTTACCGATTGACTCCTAATGCCAGAATCATTTCAAAGGCGTTAGGCCAAGTCGCAGATTTGCTCCTCTCTTCGCCTTTGCGATTTTTATTTTTTGACTTGCGTGTGTGCACGCGCGGGTCTGGTCTGTCGAGTTAGCCTAATGAGAGAGAAGGCAATAACGGTAGGGAAAATCGAAGGCCGAAGAGGAGGAAGAGCAGATTTGAGATGCAGCGTAGATCAGAGCTGAGCAGTGCAGTCAAGAACCGGGCATTTTGGAGGGCCCTCGCAGGAGACGACTTGAGAATGCCTAACAGCAAGAAGCAAAATTATTCCACTAAGTGGGCTTTTTGTTTTCAAGGCCAACATGGCTGCCAGGGTGTTTTGCACGAATCGGACGTTGTGCATGAAGCAGAGGGCCTCTTGCTTGCACCAGTCCTCATGGGTTGCTGTTCACTGTTGAGTGTTCATTTTGTTGACCCGTGGATGGATTTACTGACTTTTAAACTACCCTGTCAACCGGGTTCTTTGGGCAGCATGAAAATATAAACCACGAACAATAAAAAACGGATAGAAAAGACCACCCCAAACTTTGCACAGGAGAGAAAATTTTCTAGAGCTGGGCAGGATGAACACTGTGGTTGGAAAGAGGCAAACACTGCAAGGGGGTGACTTTCACCTCATTTCTACTTTTTGTGATGGACACTCTCAGCCTGCTTGTTAGGCGGTTGGACACTGCCAGGTTTACAGCTTTTCCTTCCACCACTTTGCAAGCTTTGCTGCATTAAAAAAAACAACAACTCCATCTTGGGAGTGTGATGAAATGCAGATTTGTGCGGCTTCAGCATCAAAATGGCTTCCTCCACCCCTGTCTGCTGCTTTGCTTGGCGTGCATGCGTGCAGTATGATGAACAGCACTGGAAAACCGGAAAGTTCGTTCATGATTTGGTGTGCCTTTTGATTGATCCTAATAAAGTTCAAGTATTTACTTATATTTATTTATTTATTTATTTATTTATTTATTAAAACCTTTTCTATCCTGTTCCCTACAGAACTTCTCAGGATGGCTTACAATAAATAAATAGAACAGCATCCGGCCATGATATACTAAAACCCCAATTAAAATCAATTAAACATTAAAATAAAAAGGTTTTATTCAAGTATTGTCTGATTGACAGTCTTCCTGGCTGCCATTTCTTCTCATTTCTGATCATGCTATATATAGAGGAATGGTTAGTAATTTAAAGCACTGTCTTGTCTTTGCTTAGGCAGAAATAAAGGCCTACCACTATCAGCATGCCTGAGGCAGCATGGGATCTTCCATTTCATTTTCACCCTGTCAGTCCTCAGAGTATGGCACATTTTGCATGTTTTTTCTAGGCTAGCTGGTCAGGAGAATGCATAAATGCCTGCCATCCACTTTTTCTAGGGAGTTTTCACACTGTGGACAGCTAGCTGTCAAAACTCTGCCCTCTTTACAAGGTGTTTAACAGAGAAATGGTGGTCCTTGGACTAGGGCACCTGGCTGCATAACCCCAGTCAAAAGCAACAACAAAAAACACACTTCCTTTGCAAAAACCACTTTAAAGGGACAGAGAGATTTTTGACAGTTGCCTGCACAAACAAATGGTTTAAAATGCAAAACAGCTGCCCGGAGCCAAACATGACCCAGAATTGCATTGGCAGTGGGGGTGGGGGGAATGACGCAGTTCCCTTTGGTACCACCTGGAGAAACAAAGAGGAGGGGGCAAGCAAGCAGCCTTATTTCTTTAGTTGCCTTCATCTGTGTTTATATTTATTTTGTTTATTATTTTCTTTATTTTTTGCTCTTGTTGATTGGCTCTGGTTTTGGACTGTTGAAGTGTATTGCTATTTAAAAGCATTTGATGGTTTTGCTATTTTATAATTTACTGTATTTTAGTCTAATCTTACTTTTATAAACCATGCTGAGAGCCAAATCGGCTATGGAGCGTACAAAAGCTTGTATAAATAAATAGTCCTTAGCTTGTAATTTCCTGTGCCCATGCAAAACATAGCTTATGATAAGCTACTATAGACACCTCTTTATAAAATTTGCAATCCTTAACTGTTCCAATATCTTTTCAAGAGGCTCTGCAAGTTGGCTCTGCTCCAACTTAATTCCTTATTAAACAGGAATTTCCTAACCATTTACCCCATTTACTCCCTTTCTGGCACTGTCTCTTGTTTCCATTTATATTGATTCATCATGACATTTTCAGGGGAACAAGATTCAGAGGTGGGTTACCACAGCTGTCTTCTGAACAGTATGAACCAGAAGCAGCTTTGAACATCACTGCCGTTGTCAGTGAAAGATCCTCTGATAGTGACACCTTATTTATTTATTTAGAACATTTCTATGCCGCCCCCTTTGCAAAAAGCCTTGGGGCGGCTTACAAAATAAACAAACAATCATATAAATAACCTTAAAAATCCAGAAACATCTCTGCACAAGCATAAAAACCCAATAAATACAATCAATAATTAACAATTAAAATAACTTTTAAATAAAAAGGTCTTGGCCTGGCGCCGAAAAACAAATAACAACGGCGCCAGGCAGACCTCTCTGGGAAACGCATTCCATAGGTGGGGCGCCACTGCAGAGAAGGCCCTCCTCCGGGTACTCACCCTCCTAATATCTTTCACGGAGGGTTCAACTACTGCCGTCATCCTGTAGGAGAGACCCTCTCTCTTCTGCTGATGTGACCATTCCTCCTGAAGAGGTGGATGCATCTCAGTCTGGTGCCTCAGCTTTGACCATCCCACCTTGGGTGACCCTTCTAGGAGAGCAGCCCTAGTGAGCAAGCCTGGCCTCCAGGCAGCATGGCTCTCGGCCTCTGACATGCTCAAAGCCCCTCACCACATTAAGGTGTGCATCCAAGCAGGGGCATTCCCATCTTGGTGCCTCATTATTATACTGATTTATCTTCCACCTACTGCAGTTACATGCAGGAGCCCTTGACTTCTCCTGGGGCAGTGCCCAAGACCATCAGGACACAATCCATGTTCCCTTGCAGGGAAAAGTGTTTTTCTCTTGCTTCTGAGGTGGTTCCTTTCCTGCTGCTAGTCAGGTTGCAGAAACTGGAATCTTGGGGGCAATTGCTGGGATATTTGGAGGGTTCGTTATTTCCAAACCAACCCCAACAATTCCTACTTCCCAGCAAGCAGGTGTGGGGAGAGGGGCATATAGAGCTTTGTATCTAAGCTCCTTGAGAAGGAAAAAGGATATAAATATAATAAATAAATAACTGCTTCATCCAACAGGAAGAGAAGCTGCAGAGACTCGGACTGCCATGGCTTCAGCCTCCACCTGCACAGAGGTAGAACAGGAAGCCCAGTGCCCCATTTGCTGGGAATATTTGAGAGAACCCGTGACCTTGGACTGTGGTCACAACTTCTGTCGAAAGTGCATCTCCTTCTACTCTGAAATATGTGAAGAAATAAAGGACTTGGAGTGTCCCCTTTGCAGCATTCAAATTCGGAAAGAACCTTTCCGGTCAAACTGGCAGCTGAGAAATTTAATAGAAGCAATTAAACGGCTACTGAATCCAAGGAAGGAGGATGTGTGTGCAGAACACAAGAAAAAGCTCCAGTTATTTTGCAAAGAAGATGAAGAATTGGTGTGTTCGGTTTGTAGGTGCAGCCGAGAGCACAGAACACACACGGTAGTAACCTTGGAGAAGGTATCTCAGGGATACAAAGTAAGTACCACAAAATCTGGTGTCAGGGTAGTAGAATCGTTTAATTTTTCAGTGAACAAAAACAACATGGCCCTTGTCCCCCACCCCCACCCCCCATTCACCCGATCTTGCCCTGTGCAGATTTTTTTGTTTCCCTGGATGAAAAAAGTCCTCAAAGGGAAATGTTTTGCTGATGGGGAAGAGGCGAAACCAAAAAGAAAAAGGAGAGGGGGGCAGAAGCACTAAAAGGCATCCAAATTGACAAGTTCAAAACTTGTTTTAGCAGTGGAAAAATGTCTTGATAGGTGTGTTGCATCAAATGGAGAATACTTTGGAGGTGACTGAAGTTTGAATATGTAACAATACAATTTTTAAATTAATAAATGCCTAAGTTTTTGGGAGGTTCCACTCATATACATAGGAATATTGCTGGGTTCAGACAACACATGATAACCCACACTCAAAGGATGAATATGGATTGACACATGGAGGGTTACCCATGGTTTTTTTTAATCATTCGCCCCACATCTATGGGTTTTCAAGGCTGAGAACCACTTCAGCAATTTGAACAATACACTTGGTTCAGACAACACAGTAACCCACACTCAGAGGTCGAGTCTGGGCTGCTGTTTTGTCTGAACCGAATCATTCTGGGTTGTTTTGAATCCAATCTAACTTTTTCAGTCCTGAGGCAGCTCAGGGACAGCATGCAGATCTCTGGGGATGGAAGAGTACAAGGAAGGGAAAGTAAGTATGAAGGGATTCCTTGGTGGCGGGACACCCATGGAGACCACAGTCCATGTATGCCTGTCCTGTCCTGAATCTTGCCTTTCACAAAGGAGTGTTTTTAATGGCCTGGGATCATCAGAGGATAACTTCAGCAGGGGCTTGTCTTCAAGCGTCTTTTTACCTACCACTTTTCCAAGGCTTCCGTTTCTGAATACTTGGCAGCATTAAGTGTGTCTCGTTTATCTGCGTTCTTTCTCCTCCAAGTTTTTTCTTTCTCTCCCTTTCAATTACACAGCCAAAAATGGCACCATAGTATAGTAGAACAACAGAAATACACAAGCGTCTCACTGTAGTTAGTTCCACTCTTTCCAAAGAATATCACAAAAAAGCTGCAAAAATGCTTATTTTATATTGTTAATTTTAATTTTATATTGTTATTTTTGTATTTTATTGTATTTTATTGTGCTGTAAGCCGCCCCGAGGCTTCAGCAAGGGGCGGCATAGAAATGTTCTAATAAAAAAAATAAAGAAGAAGAGGAGGATAACATCCTGTAAAGCACCCTCAAACCACCATGAATCACACGTGCATAATAAATACCTCCTGAGAGAAAACGTAGATCTTTCGATTGTGTCCTGCACTGCAAGGTCTGGAGTGTGGGCGGCAGGAAAATAGACAGAGGGACCAGGATCCAGATAACACAGTTGATAAAGTACATAGCCAAAGTCCAGTCACTGGTCAAATCCAAGTCATTATCCAGAGCAAGCCCAAGTCAAAAGCAGGAGCAAGCAAGGAAGCAAACCAGCCTTAGCAAAGGCCTAGTAAAAACAAGCCAGAGCTCAGGAGCCGAGAAGAAAGCACAAGGGCAGGGATGCCTTGGAACAGGAGCAAGCTCCAGGAACAGGTCTTGAGTCGTGTACTCTCCTATATTGCGCTGAGATGTGGCATGTCTTTAACTTTCTTGAATCTTCCTCTCTTTCTCTGCCATCAGGAATTTAATTCCCATCCTATTAACTATCTTCTCCCACAGTTTTGTGCCTAACCTAGAAGGCTTTTTTGTTGGGCTATGTGGTCCTGGGAGTGAGACACCAATATTCAAACAGCCTAGGACTCTGAATTAACTTTAAATAAAATAGAACTTTATCTGTACACAAAGTGTATTGGTTTCAGGATGTTCAGCAACTTCGTGAATAAGTTACTTACTTCAATGCATAGTGACTGCTTTTGCCTGAGGTATCACACTCTTTCCCTTCCCTTCCCCTTGGCCAGCAGGGGGAGCCCTGGAGATGCCCAGATCCTGACATGCATTGAGCAGGGGGTTGAACCCAATGGCCTTTTTGGCCCCTTCCACTCTACTGATGTGTTTCTCAAATCATTTCTTTCCCTGCCCCCTGCTAAGGCTGGTGTGCTCTAGACTGAGCGACTGAGGAGAAAAAGTAGAAAATGCAGTTTAAGTTGGGGAGTAAGACAGCAAAGGGGGCACCCAACACTAAGGGCTCTTCCAAACAAGGCTTTGTCGTGGGATGACCACGATCCTTTCATTCTGCGGGAGAGGCCCTTCTCCGGGAACCCTCCGTGAAAGAAATTAGGAGGGTAGGTACTCGGAGGAGGGCTTTCTCAGCGGTGGCGCCTAAGTTATGGAATGCGCTCCCCAGAGAGGTCCACCTGGCGCCGTCGTTATTTGTTTTTCGACACCAGGCGAAGACTTTTTTATTTAAACGTCATTTTAATTGTTAATATTATTTGCTTATTTTATCTGGCCAGGGCGACTTATTTTATATTGTTAATTTGTTTTATGTATTATATTTTATGTTGTGAGCCGCCCCGAGGCTTCAGCGAATGGGGCGGCATAGAAATGTTTTAATAAATAAATAAATAAATAAATTCACATTTCATGGGGTGATCCAGATGGTGTCATCAACCATTTGTAATCTGCCCATGTTTTCCCAGCAGTTCTCTAGTGTTTTTGCTTAACACAGCAAAACATTAAAGAGGAAGAGAGCGGGACCAGCTGCACAATTTTTTCCATTGTGGAAAATCCAGAAGGGAGGTTGGACAGAAGTTGTCAGGAGAGAGGTGAAGGAATTCCCGCTCCTTTCCTTGCTGCGCAGTTCATGACTCAGAGCCATTTTGTGGCTTCCTGCTGCTTTTGAGCTCTTCAACAGCGTCAGCAACCATTTTTTGAGACTGGAGACTGGGGATCCACACACTGATTCCCACCCATCTACCCACGTGCTGTGCTGGCTGCCTTTCCAAAGTTGGGAAATTGTCCTTGGAGAGGGAGTAAGGGGGCATTTCAGAGGGTAGGAATGGGAGGAGATCAGGATCCGAGGATATAAGGTATTCTGACAGCATTTCAACTTCCTTCCTTCCCCCTCCAAAGTGCCCCTGTCAGATGGCAAGAATCAGCCACATCCAATCACACACATTTGGAAGAATATGGAAAAATTGTGCTGTCTCTACACTTTAAGTTCCTTTAAAGTAATTAAGTTTTATTTTATGTGCTTCCCTTAGGATCAAATTTCTGGCTGCCTGAAACTTCTGAAAGATAAAAAAGCAGCATTATCACTGTCCATCTCAAATACAGAAAAGAAGAGTCAAGACCTGCTTGTAAGTGTCATGTAGTGACAATGAGTATCAAGTGCCAAAGGATCCATGAGCTGTCCCTGTCCTTTCAGAAAGCATTCATTTGGAATTGCCCAATCCACCGGGAACCGGTCATAGACAAGGATTGTGCAACACACCAAATCATTGGCATGGAAGCTGGCATGGATTGGCATGCTGCCTGAGCACAGCACCCTGCCCCAGCCGCCTTGGCACAGCTTCCTCGTGGCCACAAATTCACCCCTCTTTGCAGCAATCGGCGCTTCTCTCCCAAGGCGATGAACGAGCCTGGTCTGAAGCAGGCCCTCCTCACTTGCTGTTCACTTTGTTTAAAAACCCCATTCCCGTGATTCGTGACGGCAGGAATGGCCCAGTCTTGCATAGTCTGTCCCTTAAACTGAATGTACATCCCTTGCAGTTCTCACAACATGAGCTCCTAGCACTTCAGTGACTGATTCTGCTCCTGAATTGAACCTGCTTTTCTCCCCCACTGTCCATCTGCTGCTTCTAGAATCAAGTAAAAGCAGAGAAGCAAAAGACAGCAGCTCATTTCCGGGAATTGCATCAATTCCTGGAGACAGAAGAATACTTTCTGCTGGCCCAGATTCAAGAGATGGAGAAAGAGATTGTAAGGAATAAGGAAAGCCATGTAGCCAGACTCTCCGAGGAGCTTTCTTCTCTGGATACCCCCATGAAGGAGCTGGAGGAAAAGTGTCAGCAGGTGCCAAGCAAGCTTCTGCAGGTAAGTCTGGTGGAAAGAGGCCAGGTGTGTGGCCGCTCAGAGTTTTTATGTACCTCTTCATCTGTTTCCTTTTATGCCGACTGCTGCCACCTGGAACCTTTAGGGGGTGGATCGGAGGGTTGGCCTGGGGTGCCATCATGGTGTCACCTTGGAGGCCAGATCTGAGCCCCCAGGAGAGTGCAGTGCATGGTAGGAGCACCTTCTGGCCCACTAGCAGGAAGAAGTGCTGCGCAGGTGGCAAGTCGAGGCTGCCACTGTGCATGTTTTAAAGCAAAGATGTTCTTTCTTAATTTGAGAAGCAGTGAGCTCACTCACTCAGAATCCGCCTCTCTGGGGACATGGACAGTGGGAGTACAGGGACAACAAAAAGACCACCCCCTTCACTTGTTTTTCTACTAGGAGTGGGAAATCACACATCACCCCCAGCTCAATTAGAGCAGACTAAACAGTGTTGTGCCTCATCTCCCAAGACCAGCTTCAAGTTTGGGGAGCATTGGGCGGAGTGCCCTCTGGCAGGCCCCCTCCCTCTGTCACTCAGCCCTGAAGGAGTTATTTGGCCCTGGCAAGTAGCTGTTGGGAATGGGTAGCTTTTTTTGTTCAGTTGCAAAGTCGTGCCCAACCCATCGTGACCCCATGGGCAACAGTCCTCCAGGCTCTCCTGTCCTCCACCATCCCTCGGAGTCCACCCAAGCCCACACCCACTGCCCCAGTGACTCCATCTAGCCACAACAAGATTGATATTTATTTTTATATTTACATCCCAGCTTTTTTCATCAGGGAACTACGTGGCATTCCCCGGCAGTTCCCCCTTCAAGCACTGACCAGACCCAAACCAGCTTAGCTTCAGCAAGGTGCCTGCATCATGTGCCATTAGACCATGTCCTGGGACCAAAGGCCTTGGAGTATCTTTATCTTGTGGACTGGATTTTGTTGAAAGGAAGGTTCAGTGCAGGCACCAGCAGTGGATCCTTCAGATGCTTACCATTACCTGGTGCTAAATCTGGCCAAGACACCAGAGCTAGCAGCCCACTGAACATAATGTCAAGGCTTGGCCAGCCTCCTCCCAGTCTCGGTGAACTTAATGGTGCAAATGTGGTAAGAGGTGTACAAAATGATGCTTGATATGTAGAGATTTTGGTCCCTCTCTCATAATACTAGAACTCCGTGGGATCATCCCATGTAGTGGATTAGTGGGAGGCTCAGGACAGGTCAAAGGATGGACTTCTTCATCTTGAAGAAGTATTGGCTAGAGAAACGGGACTACACATAGATTTAAATATGTTTATAGTTTAACATAAAAAGAAGAATTGTGGGGGGCTGGCCCAATAGGTCCGATGTTTTGATGATTGAGGTTGTTTTTAGGGGTTTTTTGTGTTAGGTTTATTTAGAATAAAACTTGTTCAAAAAAAAAAAAGTTGAAGAAGCACTTGAACTACAGAATTCAATTCCGCAAGTTACATTGCTGGCCACCAATTTGTGGGGGTTTAAAAGGGGATAGGACCAACAGCTGGGTGGCGATATGCTACTTGCACCACTTGCTAAGGGACCATCATGCTTGGGGGTTTTCTGCAGGAGCTGGTTGGCCTCTGTGCACAGAATGTCGGGCGAGACAGGCCCTTGCTCTGATCCAGCGGAGCGCTTCTTTGGGTCTCCTTTTTGGACAGCTTCGTTCTCTGCCCTCCACCTGGTGGTACCTTGCACCAGGGACTGCAAACAGCGGTGGAGAACCTGAGGCCCCCCTGGTGTTGGGCTGCAAAACCAGTGGTGAAGGATTGTGGGACTCCTAATCCAACAGCTGCTGAGGAGGGGCACATGGTCTCCCGCGGTTTCTGCATCCCCATTAAGGGTCATGGGGGTTCTCCCTCATCTGGCTTGGCCTGGGCACTCAGGGCATTCTCTTTTCTCTTTCCTCCCACTGTAGGATATTAAAGGCACCTTAAAAAGGTGAGTAGCTCTCGGTTCTTCCACTTCTTGGTAAAAATGGCGTTCCTTTTAATTGACTGCTGCTGTAGGGATTTTGGTAGAAATGGATGAGTGGTGAAATGGGAGGAAACCTGGAATCCTAGACTGGTTCAGACAACGTGAGAACTCCTCACTCCCAGATTGAGTGTGGATTGGCTGTTGGTTGCTCAGTCTGAACCCAGCAGAGGTAGCCGCTCAGCCTGGAATCAGCTGCCCAGAGAGGTTTGCCTGCCACCCTCTTTGTATTCTTCCCAGCGCCAGGGAAGGACGTTTTTATTTTAATTGTTAAAAGGATTTTAATGGTTGTAATATCTTACTTCTGCTTATAATCTGCTGCTGTACCCTTTGTGCTGTTCTTGAATAAATTATGGTTCTGTCAAGTTTTACAATACCATGATCCTGGTTGTCAGGTTGTCAGCTTTTATTGTTTCTATGAATTGTTATTTTTAATTGTATTTTTATTGTACATTTCTTAAATTTTTATCCCGCCCAGGGAGCCTTATGGCCAATGGAGCAGGATGAAAATCAAATAAATAACTAATTAAATAAATAACAAAGCATGGGGAACAACCCACAGTTCACAACCCAGACAACAAACCATGGATTCTCCTCATGGGGTTTTGTGGTTAGGAAGCCAAAGCTTCAGCCAGCATGACAACCCACAGTTCAAGAACTCCCCACAGATCAGGAACTATGCACCCACAACCATACTCAACCCTTGAGTGTTTCAACCCAGTGAATGCTTTTTTTAAAAAAAGTTTCCCTGTACGATTCAGACTCCAGTCGCCTGCTTCTTGCATCGGAAGCAGAGCCCACTGGGGTAAACAGCTTGGCATGATCCAGGGGATGCAGCATATCAGCCTCTGAAATCTACTGCTGAGAGTTTTTTCATCTCCAGGTGTCATATGGAGAAGCAGGAACACCCCGAGGCTTTTCCTTCTGCAACTAAGTGGCGGATCTCGAACCTCTGTGATATAAATTACTTTCTGGAAGGTGCCACTAATGCATTTAAAGGTAAAGGAAATGAACTAAAAGGATAGTGCAGTTCCGGGGGGTGAGTGGGGGGCAACCTGTAGCCCTCCAGATGTTGCTGGACTGCAAATTCCATCACCCCTCACTATTGGTGCTGTTTTGCAGTCCAACAGCGTCTGCGTGAGCATGAATTCTCCCCACCACCATAAAAATGCAAGCCTTGACAGCTCCAAATGGCAGAAGCCGAGATGTCTGTGCTAACCCAGTGCTGTGAACCTTAATCTTTATTATTTTTCCTTCCTTCTCCAGACACTGTGAGATCTGGATATCATCTGCAGAAAGGTAAATTTGGGAGGCAAGCAAAGGTTGAACTGCAGGGAGGGATGGGTCTTCTAAGCTGGCCCATGAGGGTTTCGTATGGGTGAGAATAATTAGGGCTAGGAGAGTAGAACTGCTGTGCACAAAAGCAAGAAGAGTTTTCCAAGGTGCCAAGGTAACCTGGTTTATTTAAACCCAGCATATTTCAGAGATTCCAGAGGCCCCTTCATTGGGACATCCCTATAAAATGCAAACGTTGCAAACAAACTTGGCTGATAAGAAGGCGGTGCTCTGTCCTGCACCATCTGTTCACAATCGAATCTGCTCTAACCGCCTGATATTCTCTCCCAGCACAAGTATGCTTCAGCGCATTTTTAAAAAAATATTTCTCTTCTCTACAGAGAGCGTGATCCTGGATCAAAACACGGCTCATGCCAAGCTCATTCTGTCCAACGATAAGAAGAGCGTGTGGGTTGCAGATGGTCCTCAAGTCCTGCCTGAAAAGCTTTCGCAGTTTGATCACTGGCAGTGCGTCCTGGGGACTAAGGGCTTCGTCTCTGGCAGGCACTTCTGGGAGATCCTTGTAGAAAATCAGGAGAAATGGTCCATTGGGGTGGCGCAAGGCTCCGTGCCCAGGAAAGGCAGATTTCCCTTGGGCCCTGTAGAAGGAATCTGGGCCGTGGGGAAATGGGACAGGCAGTACTGGGCTCTGGATTGTCCTGGCCGCCTTCGCCTTTCCCCAGAGAGAGACCTGAAGCGGATCCGTGTGACCCTGAACTACCTTGGGGGCCGGGTGGCGTTTTTTGATGCTGACACAGAAGAACTGCTCTTTGCTTTCTCCTCCGCCTTGTTCTATGAGGAAAAACTTTATCCCTTCATTTGGGTGTGGGGCACATCCTATCTCAGACTCTGCTCTTGAGACTAAGGCCTAAAACGGGCCTCAGCCACCAGCCGAAGGGGCAGCCTGCACTTCCGTCCTTCAGTACTGACTTTTCCAGCCTCCCTCCATGATGATTATTCACTGCTCTTTATTGCATCTGCGTTTGCAGCCCAATAGCCAACGCCTTCTGCGGTTTAAGCAGTTCTCTGCCCAGTGTGCAGGTACACCCTGCTTGTGTACCTCCTGTACACATCTGTCGGGAGGCAGATGGCCGCAGTTTGGCCGGGATGCTTACTGCACCAAAGTAGAGGGGAGAGAAGGACCCAAAATGCCGGTACACGTACTGGCTGCTCATACTCCACCTGTGCCCTCCTTCAGCAGAGTGGGAAAGATGGTGGACACTGGTGGGGGAAGCCCTGGGAGGCTCCCCCATCTCACTGCAGAGCTTTCTCGGGGACAGATTTGGTCCGGCCACCAGACCGATCGCTCCCCCACTGCAGGCACACGTGTGCAAACTTAGCACAAGTTGCAGGGCCTTCACAACAATGCATGAATGAGAAGACACTAAAAGGTCCTTCAGCTCCCAGTATTCCCCAGCCAGCCGTTGTGACCTCTGGGTTCAACCTGATGCCTGTTCTGACAGATGGTGCCTTTAGAACGTTGCAGCCAGACTTGCACACAGGTCGGCAGGATAGACCAGAAATGCGTGTGCATTTCCCAGCTGGCCTCCAGCTCATTTCTCAGGTCCATTTCAGGTGCTCTCTTTGGCCAGTAAAGCCCCACACAGCTCAGGGATGGCATATTTCAAGCTTTCCCCCACTACTGTGAGCTTGTCTGCAGTCTGTGCTCCATTTTTGTAGCCCACTTTTGTGAGCCGAAGTCCAGGGCAAAGCTGGGGCACCCTGCAACGGAAGAGCCTCTCAAGAGAAGTTACTCTTGGACTACTGGAGCCAAAGACTCTGTCAAGCCTCTGACGAGAGGTACTTTTGTCTGCTGTTTTTAATATTCCATTCTTTACTGCCATGTACTATTTCTACTATTTATAATATACTATTTGTATTGTTTTATCGGTTAGCTTTATTAGGGATTATATTGTTGTGGTTTATAAAATAATAATTTTAAAACAATAAAATAAATTAATAAACCATCATATCTGTAGAAAGTTGTTATGCCAAGTGATCATTAGAAAGCAAGGAAGTAGATCTGGTCCTACAAACTATCCTTTCGAAACAATACTTCAAGTTATTGTTATAAATCAGGGTGGACCTTTGTGACCCCTCCAGATGTTCCAGCTTCTTACTTTGAGTCAACCTATCCAGCATAGCCAGTGAAGGGGCATGATGAGAGTTGCAGGCCAAAACATCCAGCAGGCCACATGTTATCCGCCCCCATTATAAATCCATACCACTCTTGATCTTATTTTCTTGAGATCTGCAAGAAAACGCAATATTTCCGTTTCAAGCTTTGTTTCAGCCCATGGCACTTTCTCGGAACAGTGAAATCCAGAAGCAAAACATAAACGAGTGAAATAGCATTGTTAGTGCATTGCTCTCAATTTGTAAATCAAGGCTTCCAACATTTCAGAAATTAAGGACATGCTTGTAACATCCCTGTAAAAAGTACCAAGGAGCATTAACTGGACTCCCTCTCCCACACACACAGTTGCATCATGAAAAATCCCAGAGAGTATTTTTCTTTTCCCTAAAGACACATTTGAAATTTACAACATTTTGTGATGTGTGAACTCTGTAGGTTAATCATGGGTTATACAACCCATGGTTGTATACCTAAACTTATGATTAGTTCTTAGGTTAACTGAATTGTTTAACCCATGATTAGCTGATATGCCTGGGTTCACACTGCACAAAATAAGCTCCCAATCAGGCCAATTGGAGGCTGCTTTTGGAAGAGGATATCAAGCAGGATTACATGCAAACTAGGTGGCTACCACTAAAACAAGGGGGCTCAGTCAGTGCCTGGCACACTTTTATTCATTCATTTATTTAGAGTGCAATTCTGTGCATGTTTAGGGAGAATGTTTTAGTTACAAAATGTATCTTGTGAAACATCAGGTAATCCACATAGGATCAAAACCCTAGACCTGCTTGGCATGTGAGAAATGTTCTCGGCTTCCCTACCTGGTGAACTTTCAGAAAGTCCACACTGCAGAAAAACCCTACAGGTGGCTTAGAATGTGAGGAGAAATGGCTGTAAAGCATTTTGTGAAATGCCAAATCATTCACAATGGAGAAAAAATCCTAAATCTGCTTGGATGGTGGGAAATTTCTCTCTCAATATGCAGACCTTACAAGCCATGAGAAAGTCCACATGGAAGAAAAACTTTATAATGCCCCCCCATGTGAAAAATTATGCTTTCTCAACTATTACTCTCCAGAACAAAAACACAGCTTTTCTGTCATGTTTAACTGTCTGAAGCATGCCGGAGTTGGACCCGTTGTGACTTTCATTAGGAATAGATGTCAGTGCAACACAGATTGGTGGAAATAATAATATCTTGAAGCAGACACAGAAATGTAAGTCTGAATTGCTACAGTCTGATCAGCACAGGTTTCTGACTCCCTAGCATTTAATACCCTTTCATGAATCACTGCCTTGTCATGGCAAAGGGGCTTGCATAGCTCAATGAAACTATGAGCTATGCCATGCAGGGCCACCCAAGATGGACAGGTCATAGCAGAGAGTTCTGACAAAACGTGATCCACTGGAAAAGGAAATGGCAACCCAGTCCAGTATCTTTGCCATGAAAACCCCATGGGCAGTACCAAAAGGCAAAAAGATATGATGCCAGAAGATGAGCCCCTCAGGTGGGAAGGTGTCCAATATGCTACTGGGGAAGAGCGGAGGGCTAGTACTAGTAGCACCACAAAGAATGAAGCAACTGGGTCAAAGCCGAAAGGACACTCAGTTGCAGATGTATCTGGTGGTGAAAGGAGAGTTTGATGCTGCAAAGATCTATACTCCATAGGAACCCGGAATGTAAGATCCATGAATCAAGGCAAGCTGGATGTGGTCAAATGAGATGACAAGACTGAACATCGACATCTTAGGAATCAGTGAACAAAAATGGACAGAAACAGGTAAATTTAATTCAGATGATCATCAGGTATACTACTGCGGGCAAGAATCCCTCCGAAGAAATGGAGTTGCCTTCATAGTCAATAAAAGAGTAGGAAAAGCAGTACTGGGATACAATCTCCAAAATGATAGCATGATCTCAGTTCGAATCCAAGACAAACCATTCAACATCACAATAGTCCAAGTCTATACCCCAACCACTGGTGCTGAAGAGGCTGAAGTTGACCGGTTCTATGAAGGCCTACAACACCTTCTAGAATTAACACCAAAAAATGATGTCCTTCTTATCATGGGGGATTGGAATGCTAAAGTAGGAAGCCAAAAGATAACCAGAATAACAGGCAAGTTTGGCCTTGGAATACAAAATGAAGCAGGGCACAGGCCGGAAGAATTTTGTCAAGAGAATACGATGGTCATAGCAAACACTCTTTTTCAACAACCCAAGAGACAACTCTACACATGGACATCACCAGACGATCAACACAGAAATCAGATTGACTATGTGCTCTGCAGCCAAAGATGGAGAAGCTCTAAACAGTCAGTAAAAACTAGACCAGGAGCTGACTGTGGCTCAGATCATGAGCTTCTTGTTGCAAAATTTAGGCTTAAATTGAAGAAAGTAGGGGAAAGCACTAGGTCACTCAGGTATGACCTAAATCATATCCCTGATGAATATACAGTAG